CTTATTCAAAATCAATGCGGTCCAGCGGCCCTCTGCGGCCCAAAGTTAAAAACTGTTGTTATTTTGAGGCCCTRAAGGTGGTGCTRGTGGCCCAATTGTGGGRCGCGGCCCATGGGTTAAGAATCTCTGGTCTAAAACACTAGTGTGGCTGGGCCTTAACATTACCAAACACAAAATAACTATAGTCAGTTTGACAGAAACTGACCACTTAATGTGCGTCCTACCTCAAAGTGCACAACTGTCCAACTGGAAGCATTGGATGTGTTTTTGGTGCTCACATCCAGTTCYGTGTGAAGGCAGCATAATTAACTGTAGAGTTAACTGTGTTGGTGTGTTAGCTAAATATCTCAGGAACCACTGGCTGCAGCTGTGAATGTTTCTGTCCTGCAGCTGCATGAAGACCCTGAGTCAGCCTCTGCTGGACGTCCAGCTCAGAGATCCCGACGTACCGTCCCCCCTCAGGACGTTTGCCTCAGAGATTCTGGTGATGGGACCCCCTCCTCAGGTGAGCATTGACCCACCTGGTGTTTATGTTAACGTGGACTCTGTGTGCCCTCCAGGAGATTCTCGGTGCGGTCGGAGAGTCCCTCCCTGCTCTGGTCTTCCTGCCTCTGTTGAAGAGGAAACAGGTTCCAGGCTTCCTGGAGGAGGAGGTGCGCTACCCTAAAAGCTCCCTGGCCTGCCTGGCTCACCTGGTGTTTGTCCATCACCTGGCTGCAGAYTCTTTCCCCAGCGTCTTCAGGTGAGTAACAGCAAGTATTTGTAATTCCAGCCACACAGACGGGTTTTGATTGGTTCTTTTCTCCTGACGCCTAACCAGTCCAGTGTTCTGTCTTCGGAGTAACATGGAGCACATTTCCCTCCTTCTGTCAAGGTAAAACCTGAATTATTGTAGCTTTGCTGTGTGTTTACACACCTGATTCCATCCTTCTGTTACCAAAACACCTGGTTCAGTAAATATCTTTAGTATTTGTTATTTAAATGTGTCATTTAAAAGCAGCTGCTGGTGTCTSAAAGAATGTCCTATAAAACACACTGAAGTTTTGTAATATTGGACACTGTGGTGAATTTGAGTTTTTCCTCCATTTTCTGACAGAACTGAAGAGTCCAGGCTTCACAAAGGGTTGGTAAGTCCCGCTGAAGGTGTGTCCACACCTGGTGGTCCAGTAAGTCCCACTGAAGGTGTGTCCACACCTGGTGGTCCAGTAAGTCCCACTGAAGGTGTGTCCACACCTGGTGGTCCAGTAAGTCCCACTGAAGGTGTGTCCACACCTGGTGGTCCAGTAAGTCCCGCTGAAGGTGTGTCCACACCTGGTGGTCCAGTAAGTCCCACTGAAGGTGTGTCCACACCTGATAGTTCGGTAGACCCACTTCACCTGGGACCAGAACCAGCAACATTTGTTTACACTGTCAGCTGGTGAGATTCAGTTTCACTCTGCGGTTAGTTAGAGTCAGGTTAGGTTAGTTAGTCAGGTTAGGTTAGTTAGAGGTCAGGTTAGGTTAGTTAGTCAGGTTAGGTTAGTTAGAGGTCAGGTTAGGTTAGTTAGTCAGGTTAGGTTAGTTAGTCAGGTTAGGTTAGTTAGTCAGGTTAGGTTAGTTAGAGGTCAGGTTAGGTTAGTTAGTCAGGTTAGGTTAGTTAGAGGTCAGGTTAAGTTAGTTAGAGTCAGGTTAGATTAGTTAGAGTCAGGTTAGACAAGTCAGAAACAGGTTAGACTAGTCGGAGTCATGTTAGGTTAGTTAGAATCAGTTAAGGCTAGTTATGGTCAGGTTAGGTTAGTTAGAGTCAGGTTAAACTAGTTAGTCAGGTTAGACTAGTTAGAGTCCAGTTAGGCTAGTTAGAGTCAGGTTAGACTTGTCAGAATCAGGTTAGGTTAGAGTCAGATTAGGTCAGTTAGAGTCAGGTTAGACTAGTTAGTCAGGTCAGGTTAGTTAGAGTCAAGTTAGGTTAGTTAGTCAGGTTATGTTAGTTAGAGGTCAGGTTAGGTTAGTTAGAGTCAGGTTAG